CTCTGTGTTAATAGTTTATTCAAGACAACTTACCAATATTATAATAATAAATGTATATGTATGGATGTTTGTTATTATTTAACTTAGGGAGCATACCCATACTACGTGACCTATTTTTTAATTTGTATTATGAAAAAGAACAAATAACGACTACGTCACAAAATACTGAGGGGGCCGGCACCCCGCTCCTGTGACTGACCGTAGTATTTTAAAGATTCCGCTACCCCTCCCCCCCTAAACGGGTCACGTAGAATGGGTACGTTCCCTTATATAGAACGTCTAAACGGATCTCGCTATTTACATAGTCTGGAATAACACAGGCAACTAATTGATTTTTTAATTAAGACGGAGTCGCGGGCAAAACCTATTAAAGAAATACTTAAATAAGTGTTATGTTTATGATAAAATTTCTTTACCTTTTTAACTCAAAAATATTCTAACTAGCATTTAGTTATATTTCGTGACTAACGAACGTTTTTGTTAGCAAATAGAATAATAAAATTTAATATTGAACTCATCTTGATAAAGTGAACGTCTATGTACAAGGCTATCCAGTTCGCTTGCAAACATACCATCTAATAACTACAGCTAAAGTACCACTATTGTTTTCATATACTCAATAACAGTTTTAATTACATAATGTGTAGAATTCGAATCACTAGGTCACAGTCGTCTAAAGCAGTGTTTTTTTAACTTCTTTCAAGACAACGAGGTCAAGAGTAAGGACACCACAACATTCAAAATTCAAACACGACCCCCTGACTACACTGTTGAAAATAATAATTCTACTGAACCCATTAGTTACCTTTTTATTTACTGATTTGTGGCCTGATTCATGGCAAAAACAAAAGTCGTCTATATATTTTTTTAAATTAGGACCCCCTAAAATATATCAGTGACCCCTCACGACCCAAAGGTTGAAAACCACTGGTCTAAAAGTAAACATGCGTTTTATGATGTTATGTCTGCGTATGCATAATGGACAACATATGAGCCTTTATTGTCATTGGATGAATCGCAGAACGATTACGTAAATCAAATCTTTAACTAGAAAATGAGGTAAGGAGGTCTCGCGATGCTTGTCATAATTTGTTAAATATAATTTTAAAAAAATTATAACCTATAATGTATTTTATGAAGATATTTTTTTTCTTTTCTCTATTGGCTTTCACACGAAGTGTATTTAGCCAATGTAGATAATTAATATGGGATATTTCTGACAGATGGCGTTAAATTGAAATCTAATTGTAAACATTGTTGTAAAAATTTATTAAAATAGAATTATAACGACAGATAATAATACATCTAGATATTAATTGAAATTACTCTGATTAAACCCAATTTTGAAAGAGTAATATTTTTAAGTAAAGTTAACCACAAAACCATAGACATTGTGGCATAAAGATTGAGGACTGTCTACGCTTCCCTTGATTATTCCTTACATCGACCATAGACTGTGTCTTTTGATAGATATTTTATTGTCTATAAATGACATGCGATGGCGCGATACTAAAATTCGCATTTTAAATTGTCTATACCATTATTTAAATAGTCGGATCGTATTGTCCTTTAAGTTAAATAAAACAGAGAATAAATTGACTGGTTACCAATAGATAAAGTACAATTTTTTATTACGTATTGTTATGTTAGCTTAAGAGTTAAAGTCTTGTGAATTTTTATGATTTTAAATATTTATTCGATTTTTTCTATAGTATTAGATACATTAAATAAAGATCTTTATAAATCAATAATTTATTCATACTCTAAGTTGTGTAATTTATAACATTCTTTTTTTAGTCGGCTAAAAATAGCCCTCATCACCGTAACGTGACCAACGAAGAATTTATCAAGCTAAAAAAACTAGCATATTTCTCATTGAATAGTCCTGTCACGAATCAAAATCCTGTCATCAAGATTAGCCTTCTTTATTTACCTTATTATCAATAAAAATAATATTTATTCATCTGCAACTAAACAGCAATCAAAGAGAAATCGGAACAGATAAAAAATAGATGTCTTGTCACTTGAAGCGTTAATATTGCGACAAGGAAAATGCAACAACGACCATAAACAAATCTGTCAACTGACGGCATTAGGCAACGCAACAAGTGAATAATCATAATTTTGTTTTGTGAAGGTCGTACAATGGCTTTGTTGTATGGTAGAAAGTTAAGGATTAAGCGATTATAAATATAATTTACATATTGTTGTCATTATTTTAATTTAATGTTTATAAGTTTTGTAGCTGTCACCCGCGACTTCGTCCGCACGAGATTAATAAAAAAAACCTTAATTAGCCTATGTGTTCTTTCAAACTATGTTCTAAATCTAAAACAAAATTTCAGCGAGATCCATTTAGTCATTCTGTAGGTTCCCTACAAACAAACATCCATCCATCTAAACATTTGCATTTATAATATTAGTGAGATTGAAACAAAGTTGTGATTCTCAATTCGACCTGTTTTCAATAATAACTTCTAATTATTTAGTCGTTTTGCGTAAAAGTAAATGACGACGCATCACCGGGCTTAAGTAAAACAAAAGAAAATAGTAAATAGTTCTATGATAATAAGTACCTTTTTTCTACATTCGTTAAAATAAAATAATTGTAACCGTTTAATGATGAAAAAAAAAATAAACGCATAAGCTTTTAACTTGTACCAAACTCCAAACACCTACTTATGTATTCACAGATTTTTCTGTTATGGTCGTATACAACGTTATACACGGATAATATGGCTCATTGTAAATTTATGACACATTTACTTTGTTACATAATACTCGTACATAAGAATCTAATAAATATTTAACAATATCACGCCCATAATGTTAGTTTCCATTGCCGAAAATTATATAGAAGAAAATGATATGTTATTTTATATGTGTTTTGACAGTGAAAATCCACGGCTAGAGATGCCATGTTTCAAATATATTGAATGGAATTTAGTATTTCATTAAATCAATCGTACATCAATCTTATCTTCCTTGTTTCTAATATAAATGCGACTGTTTGGATGTATGGATGTAGTAATAGGCTATAATTTTTTTGTTTAATTTCGTAGACAGAGTCGTGGGCGGCTGCTAGTAAATAAAAAGTAGAAAGATAAGAGACTCTTGGTTTATATTTACTAATTTAATAATTAACAATTATTAATATACAAATTATTATTAAATTAATGATTCAATTTAGTAAAATATATTGGGTACTAGAATATGGTATATTACAATTACGTCTGTTGAGTACAATGAGTAAGTGGAGCGCAATACAAAGGTAACGCGTTACTGATAAGGAAATCGAAAGTGATTGTTTATGGGTCGTTAGTATTTCACGTAACAAGAACACATGTTATATATCGTAATATGTTTTTTTTATAGACTACCTGTAGCCCGCGTAACCGTCCGCACGAGATTAAAAAAACTTAATAAGCTTATGTGTTCCCCCATATTCTACCTCTATGCAAAATTAGAGCGAAATCGATTACCTTCTTTACCTTATATATTCAAACAAACATCCATACATCTAAACATTCGCATTTATAATATTAATAAGATATAATTACTGCATTTTATTCTTTATCAATAATAATTTAACCATTTCTTTATTATATTGCCAATGATATGATTTGTTCAACACATTTTTTTAGGCCGAAAAAGAAAGAGGTTATCAATATGTGTGTATTTATAGGGTTCCGTACATCATAGGAAAAAATCGGAACCCTTATAGGATCACTTTGTTGTCCGTCCGTCTGTCTGTCAAGACCATTTTTCGCAAAAACGCGTGAAGGTATCAAGCTGGTATTTATTTTACGTAATACAATTTGTCCATTTCCTTTTTTGCTACAATGCATAAAATATTAAAAGGTCGAAATTCAGACTTATATTCATTTCATCATCATCAGCTCATTATACATCGCCACCGAGGGGCGCGGAGCCTACCTTAAATTAGTTGTGAAATTTTTACTTAGTTTAATTAGTGAATCTTGTCTTTACATTGACATTGTTATCCATATTTCCGGCTGAAGGATGTCTGACAATTTGGCATTGTGGTACAACATAAATTATTGGAAATATCTTTAACTGTTCGGTAGTTATTGGAATATACGGAAGTACCAGTATGGTGTAGTTGCACAGTCAGATGACTAACTGACGCAAGAGGTAGCCCTGCGCGCGCAGAGAAAGCCACTCTTGCACAACTGTCACATCTCATCTATAAAACCAATAAACACCTTATTGTGCTTTGGCTAAGGTGTATAATCCAATGTCGCATATGAAATTTTTGTACGAAATAATAGATGTTGGAATTTAAAGTCTAGAGTTGAAGGAATAAGGTTCAATATTGTGTGAATGAATTGTGATGTAATAGACAAGTAGGCTGACATAAACATGTTTCTTTGTTCATATTCTGTGATGTGTTCTTTAGTTTTTGACATCAATTTGTATATTTCGGTCCGTGTATGGGCGACATTATCTTCTGAGAGGTCAACACAGCGTTTAGCGACCTTGTTGCTATCATATAAACCCAAGACGTTACTGCATACGGTATTTTACGATTTGAAATTTTTGAGGTTTTAACACGTTCAGTGCTACCTGACCCTGCGATATCATTCTAGTACGTGCAAGTTAGAGTGATCTCGCATGGTGTGCACTAAATGTGTTTAAAAAAGTACATAACTATATAACCAATAGACTTGCAACTTGAGGGAAAACCCTAAAAGCAAGAAAGTATGCGTAATGTCATAGACAAAATTTGTATTTAATTTGTAAGTGTACTTTATGCCTGATATGGCGTTGTTAAATTTTACATCATACAAATGTTTTCGATTACGTTACGAATACATTCTCGCAAATTTTCATGCTAGGCCCTATAATCCTATTGTGACCCTACCATGATTATTTAATACAATCGCCATCAACAAATTTTTTATAAATATTAGTGCTAGGTCTTTGAACATTTTTATATGTATATTTCGTTATAATTTATTTTCTCTTTTTTGTTGCAGCTAAAATGAACGCAATGGAGATGAAGATGTCAGAAGTGAGCATGCACCATCATGACCATGACCATGACCACGACCACGGTGACGGATGCATGTCGTCACACGCCATGACGGTGAGTCAAGGCCAACCTTTCTACATCGGCCTAAATAGGCCATTCGGATAACTAGTACCTCAGTCTACAGCGGGTAAAGGGTTAAACCCTTTGACTTTTAAGGTAGCATCTGCCTCCAAATTTAGTTAACTATATTAAAATTTATCCCTTTAAACTTTTTAATTGCTAAGAGATGTCTTGATGACTTCTTGATTAACTTAGGGACCTTCAAGAAAAGAGCATACAATTGCCTTGAAGGCAACTCATCTGTGGATCCTCTGGTGTTGCGCATTTTGGGTGACGGATCAATCATTCTGCTCGATTGCCTTCATCCTATAAAAAAAACTTAAAGGTGTTAGTTCGCAATTTATGTGACACCAGTTGACCACTTAAAAAAAATCGTCTTTTATTTGAACCTTAGCATTTGAAGGCAACTCTAACTCTTCCATATTTTAAGACTATGAGATAGAAAGATCATTTAACAAAATTTATAAATAATAGAAACACTATCTTGTTTTCCGTATTTTTCTTATCTGTGGCCATGGGAACGGTAACTGCGGTGCACCGCGCTCCTATCGTCACCTTATCAATAACGAGTGCTTGTTCTTCAATATTTTATGTAGAAATAAACAATATTTCGTAATTACAATACTTAATCGAGAAGAATAATCAATATTTTACACTTTTACATAGCCAATTGCGCAGTCATCGTATGTATTTTTAGACATTATTAGTTGTAATCCTTTGGCGCGAATGGCGCGCTTTCGTTACGAGGTGAAATGTCATAATGATTAGTGAGAGGACATAAACGTTGACATTTTAGTAAGGCTAGTGTTGTGCCAGTACACCGGCACAGTGTCGGATTTTCTTCCTAATAGTATTTACCCACGACAAACGTTAACTTCCTAACAGTGGACAATAACCCAATTAAAACATAATAATAACACTAATAGACTGAAAATAAATATGCTTCACGTAACCTATAACGTATTTCTCCAAAGTACTCATCGAAAGATTCTTTTTTTAAATTAGAACGGGATATGGTAGGGCTGCTTTTAGTATTTTCGGCGTCCTGTCCGAAATTATTACGGCGCCAGACGCTTTATCATTTTGGTGTCGGAGAAAATCTTCCAAAGATTGTGTGGCTTACGGGCGCGGTGCCCCTAGGGCCCAACGCTCTGGGCGGTCGCCCCACCTAGCCCTAACGCCCCTACTGAGATTTATACTGGAATTCTGCTTTAAAGAATAAATACAAATATTAAAAAATCATTGACCATAACAATTCTCTACGGGGTTAATGAATTCAATGACCAAATCTAAACAAAATAGAAATGTATTCCTAATGGTATCATCATCAGCTCACTATACGTCCCCACCGAGGGGCTCAGAGCCTACCCTAAGTTACGGGTGACTAGGCCATAGTCAACCACGCTGGCCAAGTGCGGGTTGGTTGACTTCACACATATCTTTGAATTTCTTCTCAGATATGTGCAGGTTGCATCACGATGTTTTCCTTCACCGTAAGAATGTCGGATAAATGTACATATGTAAATCAGAAATCGATACACACATGGTACATGGTGGGATTCGAACCCAGGACCTGCATATTGCAAGTCAAGTGCTTGAACCCTGAGCCACCGACTCCTAATTGTAGTACTATGATAATTTATAGATTTTTTTGTTTGTAGTAGGTACTGTATTTCGTGTTTACGCATCGTACATAATTCAAAGAAAGCAGATTTGTACGCTTTCGACGTATGACAGCTGACAATTTCCCGCCAATGCAGTTAGCCGGACGCGATAGTGATGTGCCAAAACAATACAGACGCGGGAAACGGTCGCGCGCCGCAGCGAATGCAAACAAACCGACATTGTAACACTGACACACAGACGCGAATACTTGGAATTCATGCGCTAAAACAATTCGTAACACTAAATTTGACTGGCAAAAATTTGGTTAATATAATACTTGATTTAGGTATTATAAATTAGACTTAAGAGAAGTAACAATGTTAGGTGAAAAGGTAGGCTAGCTCGACGAAAAAGACTCACAACTATTATAATTGAGTGGTGGGCCTAGTACGACTGTAAAATTGGCATCGGCAATTATGTCAAAATTCGAGTATATTAGTGTACTTTGCACCCGATAGGGGGCGCTGCACAAATCTTAATACTTTTTTTCGGTTACGATACGATGGCGAATGTCACAAATATTCGTGTTAAGCCCACTGTTAAAGCGACTTATCCGTTTCGAAAGTTACATAACAATAGTTAAAGCTAGCTCTTCTGTTAGTCAAAAAATATTGACGTATTTTAAACTAATTAGAATCCCTCAATTCCAGTTCCACGTTGGCGTATGTCAGGAGATCCTTTTCAATGGCTGGAAGACGACGACAGGGTTGGAACTCTTCGGGTCCGCAGTGGCCATCTTCCTCGCCGGGGTCCTGTACGAAGGCCTCAAGTACTACAGAGAGGCCCTACACACTAGAGCAACTACAGCAACTGGGGACTCACAAGTTAATATTACTAAAAATGAATGCGGCAACCAAGGGTCTTGTGGTGGTACTGCGGTTGTCAAGTGAGTATAAACAAAGATATTTAATATAATATATGTGTAGACAGGACAACTAGAACCATAATTCTAAGGTAATACTCGGTAACAATTCTAGTAAACGAAAGTGGTATTAACATTTGTGTTAATGGCATGATACTTTTGTAGTTCTTTTGCTTGACCTTATAAATTAATAAAGGATTCTTGAGTAAAGTAAAAATTTAATGTCATAGGAAAATATACAAAAGTTTGAATATAAAAAATTGGTTTTAATGTCACTATCATTGGAGATTACTTATCTAATATTACAGATACACGTCGCTCATATCTACGATGATTTCCTTAACTATAATGTTTTATTAACTTCGCATCGATATAAAATGTTAAACTCCTTGTACTAGTTTGTTATCTGTTATAAATCATGTAGTGATTAAAATGTCTTTGATGTAAACAAGTAAATAGATATAAATATTAGCTAATCGCCCAGATAATTTTGGTAAAGTAATCCTTTAAATATAACCTGAATTTTAATTGAATCAATTATAGTTTATAATGATTTTTTAATAGCGTCTAAATCGTTAATCGTCAAGATTGAAAAATTTATTTTTTGTAGTTGTGCTTTCCGTCACTAGATGTCGCCCAAACTTTACATACATCTCCTTCAAAAAGAGCGACATCTGTTGACAGAAATGGAACTTCAAATAAAAATTCCTTCTTATATTTACAGATACTCAATGCTGTCGAGTGGTCACATAATACAGACATTGCTCCACATCGTTCAATCTACTGCATCCTACGTCCTGATGTTAGTGTTCATGACATACAATGTTTGGCTTTGTCTCGCGCTAGTACTGGGCTTGGCTGTTGGATACTTCTTCTTCGGCTGGAGGAAGGCGACCGTCGTAGACGTTACAGAACATTGTCAATGATTTGATTGTAAGGACTGGATTAATCTATAGGGAAATTACATATTTTTAACTAATTTTTAATTAAAATCAAGAAAATATTTTTGTAAAAGGCCAACAACGCATCTTTAGTTCCTCTGGTGTCGCGGACGTTCTTGGACGTCGTTGTTTACTGCGTTGCTTGTTTACCTCCTCTCTTATAAAAAAAACTGTTGCGGCAGTACGAATTGAAGTTGAATATAAACCTCTGTTTAGTTTGATCCAGTCCTATTCCAAAATAATAACAGTATTTTGAAATTAATTTACGTTATAAATTGACCAACTTATCTGTGCGTGGCGCCACTGTTGACAATACTGATTATTTTATCGACAGTGGCGCCACACAATTTGTGGACGTTATAGCATAATGTTGCCAGTTGTTCGAATTTTCACTGCATTCCAGATAAATTGGTCAAAATACTAAGTTATGACTTACAGTTGTTTGAAATAATGCATTGTATAAGCCATATATAGTACATATATATTGATTATAAACTTGCCAGTTAACGAATGTTTTATTAAATTAACGGAAACTTAGAAAATCAAATGTAAACGTACAAAAGAAAAGACATGAAAACTTTTTGACTATATTTAAGTGATAGCAATCGCAATGTGTAAGTTTGTTTTTTTAAGTAAAAATCATATCACGACAAAAGAAAGTAATCTACTTTATGTTTTATTTTTATTATAAATTCTACTTTTGTGAAATACTTTGTTCGGTATTATTAAATAATACGCTGCTTAGTATTTACTATACTTCGCAAATTAAGCATAACTTTCGCGTCTTAAAACTGCACTCATCTTCCCCTACTTGGACAGTCAGTTACTACGATTGGTTCCTGTAAAAAACACCTATTCAAAAAATAGTTATCTCTATTTTTACAAGAAGAAAAAGAGGGATAGCAATATGTACACCTGTTTCGGCAGCGTAATCCCACGTTGACAAACGACAAAAATTAGATAGACCATTAAAGCGACATTATGAATCTTTTTATTCTGTAAACCATAAGTGCCAAAATATCAAGGCCATGACACTGTCTTCCGTTTTATAATTTTTTTATTCTCTATAAGAGAAAGACATGATAATGTTTAATGATATTTAAGGTACACTTTTATAAAAGTGTGACAATTAAAAATTATACTATGTTACTACTTATAATTATATAAAATATTTTTATTATCCTACTACAAGGTTTTAAGCGTGATATACTTTACATAACGAAATATATAATTTTGATTGAAATATATTAAGTAAAAAGAACCAATTTTAAAGTATTTAAATGTAATTAGGTATTTAATAAAAAACAAGTTATGAGAAAAAATACGTATTGGTAATATTTTATTTTTAATCTGTTGAAATAAAAGTGCGTAAATTATTGAATTCCTACCGTTACAAAAATAAAGGTTAATACTGCTTTTTAAAATATCATTGTAATTTTCTTTAAAAATGTTCATTGATATTGTTTGTTTGTTTTTTTTTTGTGATATTAAGAATGGTGGATTTATAGTTTTACATTGTAATATGCAAATTTATTTTGTATTAGTGATACTGTACATAAATAAACTTGACATTCCTTTTTAATCTAAGAAATTTGTTTCATTTCGAGGCATCCTACTAATATTATAATATAAATGTGAATTTTTAGATGGATTGATGCATCAATGGATGTTTGTTAGAAGGTATCTCCGGAAAGGGTCAACGGATCTTGTTGAAATATTGCACAGATGTAAAAAATAGTCTGGAAGAACCCACAGACTACTTATTAACAACGCCTATATTATTAACAGCCCAAATTTTAAGCTATAAATATTTTAAAGAAGTAAGTATTAAACTAACGAGTGTTAATTCATTCTTAACCCATAGGAATTTAACAAAATAAAGATAGAAGAACAAAATTTTTCTGATGAGATGACAAATCTTTTTGCACCCATTTCTTGAAGGACGAGTAGTTTTTTCTGTGTTCTGTGAGGTGTGACCTTTATTACAACTAATACAACTGCCATATCAATAATACCTTTAGTTAATTGGAAATGCAGATCTTGCTTTAATTCCAATAAGAATTTAAACTATCGTGCCGTGGAAAGCCTTTAAAAACTTGTTTCCGTTCGAAAACTACAACAAATATCACTTTTGTAGCTAAACACTAATTATAAAATGATCAAATCTTATAAGAAACTGAATTTCCGAACGGCACTTACGTCATGACTGTCATGTCAGTGAAGTGAAATGTGACGGGTGGTGTTTCATGTTTTGTCTTTTGATGTTACTTGTTGATTTTATTACTTAAATTCAAAGTGAAATAGCTAAACAGTATAAATACAGTATAGGTGATAGATATGTTATAGTTTCACAAGTGTAGAAATCGTCTGGAATTCGTCGTTCACGTGCCTTTGGAGCGTATTGTCCAGGTAACGGTATATTTTGCTTTTAGACGTTGAATGGTATTTCTTGTGAAATCATAGGCAATTTGTGACTTATAATTTTCTTATTCGATTCTAGATTTTTAATTTCAAAATAAATTATGTTATTTTTATACTTCTTGCAATAAAACCTTGAATAATAAATTTAAAATGTGACATGTTGATGAGTATAAAGTTTGACATAGTGGGTTGCATACTTTAACATAGAACACGCCGTTTATAATGCCGCAAATTTTAACCAAACTATAAACATATTTCTTTCTGTATTAAAAGAAGCTTATTTTAGATTAGCATTAAGTAATCGATGACTAGTTTGGAACATACTCACTTAAATATATTTAAATATTGGTTGCACCTTGAATCTTATTTAGAGAGGAAAGCTTTTTTGCCCTACAACAACTCATTTTTCTTTATTAACAACAAAATTTCACAAATACATAGTAAAGTGTATTATTTATGTATTTAACTATTTATTGTACCACTTTATTTAATATCAAATTTGTACATCACATACATAAATCAAATAACTTCAGGAGTTCTCATGTTTTTTGTAGAATTTAGTGTAAATGTGATCCCAAAATATCAACTGCTGGCCAGATAGAAGTTGATTTGCTACTGTTTTATCAAACATTAAGTATGGTACTACGGTTATCTTGCCTTCAAAGTCGATAGTGTACGGTACAGGCTCCCAAATAACTGGTATTAGTGTGGTTGTCAATGGCGTTGGATCCCTGTAACAATATGTTAGTGAGTTTCTTCTACTAAAACATGTACATGATACATTTTTCGGAACAATTTTAAAGATTGTTTATTGAGTTTTTAGCTGTGTATTGTTCTTTTTCGTAACTGTATTCTTTTCAGACTGGCTGTGGTCATCACATATTAGTGCCCTGTTTCATGAGTCACCTCCACTCCTCTCTAGTCTCTGTGTTACCTTTACATTAAATAAAAGAATTGTCATCAAACCTTTGAATGTATCCTATTCTTATTTTAAGTGTGAACATGAAAATATAATGTATAACTTACCCCACTTTTATGAAGTTAGATATTAACTGAATTAGTCTGTCTGAGATCACTTGTTCTTCATTGTTTAGTTGTTCATTTGAGAATAAATACATGTAGAGATCTCCATGACCAGCGCCTGATATCTCCTCGCTTTTCAAACTGCTCATGCTGCCTTTATATGTAAACTTTAAAAGGTACACCGGTTGAGTAGCCCTTGAATGCAGTATTGATGATTTTACAACAGGGTACTCGATAAATATGTCGTTCACGTAATCCACATAGTTCGGAATCAAGTTATCCCCAACAACATTGTCTCCGAAGTAAAATTCTTTCACTAATTTTGCTAATTTCGTTTTCAAATCTTCGCTTTCAAATTCCAAATTGCTCGGCAGTAATTCTTTAAAATTGGTAGGAACGAAAGTAAACCTTTTTATGTTATCCGATATAATTTTGACCTCAAATGCATTTGAAAAGGCCATAATTATTGGCACATGGAAGAAGTGAGCGTCCTTCAATATATCTAATGGGTCCACATCAAGCAGGCTATTGGTATTAGACTGATCGCGTTCTATACACGGTAGGAACATTTCTGTCACGTTCTTCAAACTCCGGATGGGCAATTGCTGATAAAAATCAGCTAATTTGTTCGCTTTTGTCTCACCTTTGTATCCTAGTAGTGCAGCAACTTTTACAGCTGTGGAGAAAGGCGTATACGTCACTGAACTAGGGGCTATAGCAGAGCCGGATTCTAAAATCATCCTTTGAAACAATCCTGTAGTGGAACCAGAAAGCAGCAGTAGTTCTACTGCGACGGCACCGGACCCCGTTCCATAAATAGTGACGTCATTTGGGTTCCCGCCAAAATGTTTAATATTCCTCTGCACCCAGTAGAGTGCGGCAACTTGGTCCTTCAAGCCGGCATTTCCCGGCGCCTCGAATGACCCGAGGCAAAGAAAACCGAGAACTCCCAAACGATAATTGAATGTTACTATGACGAAATTTTCTTTTAGTAAGCGAGATGGTGCCCTGAATGATCCCCAACTGAAATATATAAAATTCAGCTTTTATGGGCTTGGTTTAATCGATAGCCTAAAATACTCATTAATTATCTGTTATAAATTACCCTCTTTGAAAATCACCGTCGTGTACATGGACAATTACAGGCAGCGATTTAATTCCCCGCTGTTGTTCTGGTGCGAACACATTTACGACGAGGCAGTTCTCCACTCCAATCTCATCCACTTGGGGACACTTGATGCGGTGTATCGCCTCAAATATACCGTCCCAAGGGACTGTCGGCTCAGGAGCCTAGAACACGTTGTTGTGAAGATTTTAATATCTACAATCACATTTTTCTTAGGATTTCTGAATATAAACTACAGGACTAACATGTAGTCGTATTGCAAACTTATGCCGAACACTAGGTAACTGTTTACGAAGTACATTACCTTAAACCTATGGTGTAAAAGTGGCGCACGAGCGTAGGGAATACCCAGGAAGACATGATGAGGTGGATCCGGGAAAAGATACCCTCTGACTTGACCATGAATCGTCATTACATCACGATGCGGTCTCTTTTCCCCCAAACATTTCGACACCATAAATAAAACCACCCACTCTTTAACAATCATGATCTCCTAGTACCCATATTTGGTAACTACACACTAGACTGATTGTAACGAGATCTAATCGTCTATTGAAGGCGAATGTGTTGTCTAAAACATTTACTACTCTGTTATGAAAACATCTCGTCGTCTTTGAACAACGTTAGTGATGGAATTATTTATATAATTTTTGGTTGAAAATGATAGTCTGTTTTGTTCAATGCATATTTATTTCTAATACTTGTGATAAATAAATTTACTACGTGGATTACAACATCGATTACATTTGTTGATTTTGCAGCGTTTTCTATAATTGAGATGTAACGTAAGATAATAGTAATACGAGTAAGAAAAAATGCTGTATTATTTGAGTTTTTAGGCAATTAAAAAATACTGTAATAACATAACAGGAATTATGAAATAGATGAATTCTTGTTTATTCCACTAAAGTAATTCATAAAAAAAAAATGGTCTAAATAAAAAAAATATGGACAAAATACTTTTCTCATATAGAAAACGCTGCATTACACTCCTTAAACTATAAGTTTCGAAATAAAAATAAATATGATTATAGTAAAGGTAAAGGAATAGATATAAGGGCTAGTTCTGACACCGCGATTGTGTTCCACGAAATACGTCTCGTAGATCTCATTCCACAAAGTAAGTCGGTCAACGTGGAGTCCTTTCAATGGCTTTACTTGAGTGTCAATCAACAACCAATTCTCGTTTGTTTCAGTTGTTTTCTCGAATGGTCGCCACTCTATACCTTCAGTCTTCGGTTTCCTAAAAGAGAAAATATCTTACTAATATTATAAATGCGAATGTTTAGATGGATGGATGGATATTTGTTTGAAAGTATTTCCAGAAGGGCTACATGAATCTGAAATTTGGCACATAAATGTAGAACATAGCCTAGAAGAATACATAGGCTACTAATTAGGCTCTTTAATTCCGCGCGTACGGAGTCGCGGGCGACAGCTAGTAAACGATATTAGGGTAAAAATATACGCTTGTAAGATAATTCAGTAAGCGAAAGATTATAATCATACCCAGATTGTATAAAACTAATCCATAAGTCAGTAACCAGATCTATCATCTGTTTTTCTTTACTGCCATCGACAGGTATGTGTCCTTCTTGACAGAAAATATATTTAACAATATCTCCTCGAGATGCTCCTCGGATTTTTACTGAAGTTGATATTTTGATATCATCGATTGATTCATCAATATTCCTTTGATTTAAATATCCGACAAATGCAAACTCGTAGAAATAAACCGAAGCTCCAGACGATGCTAAATGTCTAGCTGCTCTGATCATCGGACCTAAATACGAAGCATCCGTATAACATAGAGAAAGTTCTTCTATGTTATTTAACGTCACGTTATTTTTACCAAAGTATTGTTTCCTCAATCTGTTTCCGATTTCCGATCTTTTTATATCATTTTCTTCAAAGTTTAAATCGTCGGGCAAGATAACACTAAAGTTCTCATTTAGTTTAGACAAACTTTCTTTAGTGTGATCTAATGCTTCTTGTAATCCAGCATGATTAGTAGTTCCTATCATATACGTCATATTTGTTTTTAAATTGTTAAGCATATTAAAAGGAGTTTCCGTTATAAACGATCTGTTTCCATTTTCAATACACGGTGCGAATTTTATATCTTTAGCTGCTGTTACCAAAATTCCTATGTTTGATGATTCCACTCTGAAATTCTTTGTAGTAACTACACCAACATTAGGAAGATTCTGTATTAAAATTTTTAATGTTGCGTCGGGATCTCTTTCTAATGCCCAATGTGAAAGCACAAATCCACTTTCGACGATAACTTTTGAAACGTAATCCCGTGACACGGGAGAAAGTGCCAAATAACCCGCTAGTGCCCCTCCTCCGCCCTCTCCGCTAACTACAATATTTGAAGGATCCCCACCGAAAGCTTCTATGTTATCTTTTATCCATTTTAAAGCCATAGTTAAATCTTTTAGTGCTGCATTACCAGGTACAGAATCATTCTGTGAACACAAAAATCCAAGTGCTCCCAGTCTATAATTCGGCAGGACTAAAATGATTCCCTTTGGCACTATGTATTCTGGACCGTATACTTTTGGATTTCCACTTCCTATATTGAAACTTCCATCATGAATGTGGAACAAGACGCCTCTTAATTCTTCGGTTGTCGTAATTGGTGTCATGATACTTAACGTAAGGCAGTGAAAATTCCCAGCAAGTCTATTTAAGTGTTCAATCTGCGGGCAGCGTGATCTGTGTTCCGTTTCGTCGTGGACCCTTTCCCATTTTTGGGCTGGCGACGGTTCCTGTAAATAATATTATCTGTGAATTGGACCATTACTGAACTTAAATTTTTATTGTACAAGGAAATGTAATAGTTGCTTGCTCGCTTAACGGTGTTATTGATGAGTTTTCTAAGGAAAAACTACTCTTTCAGAGTTATGTCAATATTTCCAGGCCCTTAAATTACAACTAAATTATACACAAATTTTGTTAGATTATTTCTAATTTTCCGAACGCAGTTCGCATAAACGAAGACAGTGTCTATGTTTTACTAATAATTAAATTTTGGTCTTACCTCAAATGGGTTATTGTCGCTGAATGATCCGTATGGGATATCATAGAATCTTCTTATGTTTGGTGTTTCTTTCTGCACGTAACCTTTCACCGGTCCGCTTTTAGTCAAAATTATTTCTTCCGTATTTTGGTTATCATTACCACTACTTTCAGTGTAAGGTATTTCCTCTGTCGTTTCTTCGGCGTAGGTTAATTTTATCGTCAGGATTATTGTTAGCAATTTGATTGTTTTCATTTTTGTGTCCAAAAATCATCAATCAATAGAATTTTCTTTAGTATCAGTTACTAGTTACTTTTTTTTAAATATTTTTTGACTTTTTTAATTTAATAAAGCATTGAGCTTTCGTCGAGCTTTATTCAAGCATGAAACTATACTGATATATAACCTCAAAACTGATACTAGGGATAGGCAATCGATAATAAAATATTCGCTGATATGTACAGTTCCGCACAAACTTCATACATTCACTAAAAATACGTGTACTATAAAAACAGGTAGAGCAAAATATACATTGGATATTGTTTGAATAAGCCCATTTAAACAACAAGTAATACGTCATGATATTCTTCCTCATCTTCTCTATTGTTATAAGTCTTCTATGTCTTGTGTGTGGGTTAATTATGTTTTCTTACATTTATTGTAGAGATACAACTACGTCTTTACAAATCTTGTATCAAAATATTTATGCAAAGCGTAGAGGTAATATTCAATGCACTTTTGCATTCGGTAGTACCTTAGCCAAATTCATTATCGTCAGGTAAAGCAATGTCAACGAGCGCTATCACAGCACTCGTGGTTTCGGCGATAACAGTTATTGTTGCTTCTATATTGTCCCTTCCTTGTACCACCCTATCCCCCTTAGCTATTCTATCAGGCTTACATGGCTATTTGTTTTTACACGCGTTTATACTACGCATATCAACGTTCGGCCACCTCACCGGTGGATTACAGGTGGGTCAGGTCTTGGATCAACTTAAACAGATCTGCTGCTGCATGTTTGCACCCTCCTTCAAAAAGAGGATTATGGTCAAACTTAGGTTTAATCATTGTAAAAAAAAGCGTAGAGTACGGCGTTCTGTAGTGTAATTCATTAAGCCTTATTATTAGTTCGATCGTCGCGTGAGTAAATTAAATTAACAGAAGTTTTATTGAATTAACGGAACAAATACATTCCCATTAGTCCTCTATTAGGACTATACGACGTATTAGTACGTCTGGTAATGAAATGATTTTGTGTTTTTTCTTTTCAATACTAGACCTATGTATGTTTATTATGGTATGCTTAGTTAACGTCGTGTGCGATATTTTGATTTCATCCTTCTGATTTCAATTTAATTAAGATTTTTTTTTATGTCATAAGGTGGCAAACGAGCGAGGTGCCACCTGAAATCGCTGAAATAGCGAAGTAACCGTTGCCCATAGACATACGCAATTGCATATGCTTTGTTTACCTTTAATTGACGGAGGAGAGGATGCAAGAAAATGGTCTCTCTTCCATGCATCCTCTCATCAATAAAAAATAATTAATTTTGTTACTTAGTGACAACGTTAAGTAACCGTTATTCGAAACTTTTAAATGTAGATTTAAATCATGGATAGGAATAAAAAGGAATACGTTTAAAACTAACTCAATTTTCATTAATGTTCATCATAATTTGGTTCCTTTTAAAAAAACAAGGCAAATAAATGTCTTCTAAGATACCAGTTTTCATATAACTTACATAATTTTTGTTGTTTTCAGGTAATACAAATTTTACAGTTAGAATTTGATCCGAGTCTGAGTTATAAGGTAAGTACTATTTCTCATATTAAGTGTCAGTAAGAATTGCTTCTTCCCTCTTCCCTTCACATCATAAATTGGGGAGCAATAAAAGCCGGCTTAATAAAACTATTATAAAATGTACTTTTAATACGATAAAATAATTCATCCTAACTGAAATATTTAAAACAAATATTTTGTTAATATAATACAAATGCCCTATTTAGCTTTGTTTCTTTCCCTTGTATAGTATTTCTCGTAAACTTTATTCCACATATCCATCGCTGCAGTGCGTGGGAAATCCATCATCTCTATATCCATACCAATATTTAGAAGACGAGGGGCGTGGTAGTCCAACGATTCCCATCGCGCAGAATCACTTTTATCTGGCGTGGGATTCCTAAAAAAGCAAAGTACGCCACATAGAGACATAATCATTACATCTATTTCTGTAAAGTTCAGTACTTCAAACCAAAAAAAGAACTTGGTCTAAAAAAATCCTGTTGTAGTACAGCTTATTTCAAATATTATACTTACAAATGCTTGACGAAGTTCGTCCACAAAGTAACTAATTTGTCTTGCACCTTTCCATCATCACCACTAAGAGTCAGTCCATTCTCTGAAAATAAGAAGGCCAATTCGTCGGAATGGGCCGCTCCTATTTTGTCTATACCATTTTCTGGTTCAACTCCAGTATCCCCGGAGTGAGAAAATTGATAGTAGTAGACGGGATAGTGTGACGATGAGGAATGTAATCGAGCGCTCCGATGTACGTGATTGATGAAATAAGCGTCGCTGAAATTAAAGAAAAATTATCCATAAATTAACAAAAGTTATTGATCTATCTATAAAATCCCTTACCTATGATACTCAATAATAGAAGCAAGATTAAAGTTTCCATTCTTGAAATAAATGTCTTTTATTCTGTCCCGAGTCTGATTTAATTGCCTGGCACCCATATCTTCAAGTTTCATGGGTAGTAGGAACATCATGTCAGTCGAGAGTCTTCTTATAACATTTGCTAGCTTAAGCATAGTTGCAAATATGTATCCTTCATTGTTATTGTACCCAATGATCAATGGAACACCGATCACCTTTCCATCAGACATCAGATCGTAAGGCGGTTCCGCTAATAATCTTTCTTCTTTCTTGAATGATCTTTCTACACAAATTCCAAATGGAAAGTAAGGCATATCTAAATCTTTAGATTTCTCAACTAAGTCTTCTAAACTTGTTTCTAGCAAAGTAGTTGGAAATTCTTTATTGTTGAAGGCTGTCATCAATGCATTTACTCGAGATTTTGGGTTATAATTGAATGCCCACGGACTTAAAACAGTACCGCTTTGCATTATGGCTCCATGAAAGAGACCTTGAGACATTGGTGAGAGCATTATTGTCTCCACAATCGCTGCTCCGAAACTTTCTCCCGCAAGGACTACATTGTCTGGATTTCCTCTAAACGCTACAATATTATCTCTAACCCAACGAAGTGCAAGGATCACGTCCTTAACACCAGCATTACCAGGTATTTGTTCTTCGTGAGAACATAAAAAACCAAGTGGCCCCATTCTGGAAACGAAAACGAATTTGAATATTAGTATTTCACTTTAGAAATGTAACAAAAAAATACATTGTTCATTGTACCGGTGTCGAACGGTGACCAGTATAATTCCTCGTCGCACTAATTGACCTGGATGGTAAAATCCACTACCACCTTTAACCCATAATAAAACAGGCCAAGGTTGTTCGTTTGGGGTTGTTGGTGTATAAACATCCAGTTGTAAACACTTATCAACTGGAGAACTTGCAGTACAGTGTGGATCGTTTGCTTCTCTGATTCCTGTCCAAAATGGTGCTAGGCCAGCTCTCTGAAACATGGAATATAATAGAATTATTAGTCCGTCATCAAATTTAGTTATGCTTTAGTGCAGAGATTCTCGAACTTGTTTTTTTTTAACCCTTTTCAAATATTTACTTAGTTTTGGTGAACTCGAATGCTAACAGTTTATCCTAAATATGTGATCCTTTAACATTATCTCCCAATTTCGTAAATCCTCGTGACTAGGGACCCAGAAGTACACTTAAAGCACTTTGAAGTCCACTGAGAATTTCGTTTCATACCAAATTATTCGAATAATTGTATGCTCACCTTAAACCTACCAGTTCCATTAGAAGAAGCGTACGGTATACCTATGTAGGAAATGTATCCGTCTTTAGAAACGCCTCGTATCAACCCTTGTGCTGTCGTTACCACATTTTGATGTGTCATAGAGAACAAGCTAGCTATTATAAATGATATTAGGTACATTTTTATATAAATTATTATTTTATAGTAGTTGTAAGGGCCTATAGTTTCTGCAGCTCCAAAACTTGCGAATGCGTTAGGTTACTCTGGTGCTCTGAATATTAATGATGTGGGTATATTACTCGTGTCATTTTATTGAACAATTGCGAAAATGGATCACATTTTATGCATCGAAGCGTTGCTTCCTATGATACCTCTTTCACTTCCGTAATAATGGAATGGCATATCAGATTGATGGTACTGGCTTTTGTATATTATTAAAATAAATATTTTTAATAGTATAATTTTATTACTATTAAAATTGTGACGTAATAGAAAATGTAGTCTTCCAAGTAGGGTTGGCGACTGGTAGGTGGTCAGCCCGTAAAAATGAAGTCGAAACTTATATTATAGGTTTATGAAACCGTGGAAAAAATATGTGTCGACCTCTCATTGTGGGATAAGATCAGGGAGATGATGGATCAGTACTAAAGTTATAACAAAAACTAGTTAAATCTTTAGGAGCTAGATCTAGAACGATGATAAAATACAGAGTATTTATTCATTCTTTTAATAAATTCATTCAAATTTACAATGACCGCGTAATTTCCAACTTAAGTACAGCATTTAAAAAACAGCACTTTTTCTTAGAAACTTATAAAAATGTCACAATAGGTAAAAAAATTCACATGACAAATACACACACACGTACAATCTTAATCTAATTAAAACATAGAATTTCAAACGACTAGCACATTACCCTGAAGTCCTAGTACCAGAACGTCTAAAAGAAAACATATTCATCATTTATCCCTTTCATTCTCTGTATTAAAAAGAGAGAAAGTAATATGTTTCTATAGTATGATGACAAACGAGAAAACGTCCACAAATACTACTTGTACAGATGTTTTGGTAATGAATTTCTTATTTTATTCAACTCGGCTTTGGTACCAAGTTGTATGTTTGATTTTCAGTGATAATTTGCAAATAAAAACTGAGATCAACAATATGTTTGTTCAGTAACAGTTTTTAGCGTCATATACAGTAGACAACATTATTTAACTTTTTCACTCAGAATCCATCAGTTAATAATTAGCTTATGGGCCATTTCATCTATCCCTATTCCAAATTTCAACCAGTTTCAAAGCTGTTTTGGAGTTACGTAATAACAAACATTCCACCAAACTTTCGCATTTATAATATTAGTATGAAGATAATAGAAATCTAGAACTAAAGGAGTGCTAACCTAATCCTTAGACAACTCTGAGTACGGCAGTTTGAATGGAATTCTGATTATAATGCAGATGTTTATGATCAGTTGAGCTTAAATCACAAATTAATCTTTATTTAAATATTCTAATCGTTTCTAATTCAAAACTTAAATTAAGTCTTAATCTAAATGTATCAAATACTTCAATGACAATGAATACAGTCTAAAAATTCTTAACGTAGATTTACACTGCTGTAACACTCGTACAATAATGTACTGTTATCTCCCTCAATCTCCTTTAAATAACTGAGATAATAACGTTTTTCTACGAGTGTTTTGCCAGTGAGAACTGACGGTTACAATCATCAATGAGTACACAAACTTAATACTACGAGTCTCTTTCTTAAAAATCATTCTTAATAAATAAAAATCCCCACAACGGATGCTTTTGTAGGATATTAAAATCCTGGTTGGAAATATATTTTCAATTTATAAAAACTATTGTAGAAACTGAAAATACATAAATATAGAAAACTGAGTATAGAAATCTTTTGTTGGTATCATTGTTATGTTCTTTGCTTTGCTGGTCGTTGTATCGTTTTATTTTGACTTTATTAAGTTAGCACGTACCATCTATCGACCACATCATCACTTGACATCAGGTGGGCGCGTGGTAAAGTGCTAGCTTGTTCAACTTTAAAAAAAACTTATTTGCTTAAATACTACTAAACCTATATCCTGTCAACGCTCGACTTTCTTTCATATTTAAATTTATAATTGAGAACTTAAAAGTTCTTCGTCAACCAGCTAATTAATCCAAGCATCTTTACAAAACTTCTTACATTCTTGACAATGGTAACGTACAAACTACATGATGTCAGTCAGTTAGTTCAACTCGCAGTGGTGTTGTATAGATTATTGAAGAATTCTAACATTTCTATTTGCGCGTCTGTCGGATCTGTGGACTTGTAATATGTGTTTTCTATTTCTTGATATCTCAGGTATCTGTCAACGGGTCTCCAAGCTGCTACCTCGTTGCCAATGCAGTTAGGATATCTGGAATAAAAATTAAATATATTAACATATTTAATTGAAGAGTACTCAAGAATCCGAATGAATTATCAAATGTTATATTATAGGGCTTGAGGAAATGTTAACTTACCCGCATTTAACGAAATTGCTGACAAAAGTAGTCATCCTTTTCCTCATCAAGTCGTCTTTACAACCAGATGGGAACGTAATATACTTCCCCATGATTGAGTTAACTTTAAATACATATGTCATGTCCTCGACATGTCCCACTCCTTTGTAATTTATACCAAAAGCTGTTTTAATCACATTAGCCTTTCCTTCATAAGAAAATTGGTACAAGAACACCGGAGCACCTCCCATTGCTTGCTTCATTTGCGCTATCTTCAACGCTGGGTAATTATAAAACGTATCAGAACAAGAATGTATATAGTTATCCATAGTGGGTTCTCCATTAAAATACTTCTGTTCTACCTCCTTCGCGATGTTAAGCAAGTCGCTGGGAGGTGCATTAAAAAGTATACTAGGTGATAAAACTAGCAAGGGGTTCTCATTTATCCTTGTTATCATGTCTATTTGTTCGAATCTCGGACGGAAGCTTTCGCATTCGGCGGTCGTGAATCCGATAAACATTTCCATGTTTCTTCCAACACCTTTGTTCATTAACGTTATTGGGTCTTCCAGTACGACTGGATTTACACCTGGTATTTTCTGTTCTAGCACTGGCACGAATGTCGTTAGTCCAAAATAATCTATTAGCATTCTGTTTGCGTTCATAATCTTGTCTATTGGGAGTTTGATTAGTTCGCTGTGCGCTAGTTCAGGGTCTGTGCTTGTGATGTTGAGGTGCGTCAAGAACATGCTGGCAATGTTTTGCGCGAAGACCGGAGATAATGTGTAAAAGGCGGGCATTGCGGTGCCACTCATCAGTATTAATCTGTAATTGATAATGGCTCATTAAATACTGGGGTAAACACACGAGCAGTTCTATATACCGACTAGTTTCAGACCCGTGGATCCTTGAATGTGGAAAGTGATGAATGGGATAGAAGCCTTTTAAAAGTTGACTCAAATACTTTCTGTGCAATTCCGTTATTAGGCTCCGAGCCCCTGATTGGGAACGGTACAGAGCTGATGATAACGATGTAAAGTAAAAAGTATTAACATAATTATTTTGATAAGTACCTATTGAATAGTCCTTCGGTGTCGGGTGCGAATGAGGTGAGATGTGCGATGGTGGCGCCGGCGCTCTGCCCGCCAAGCGTGACTTGCTCCGGGTCCCCGCCGAAAGATCTAGCGTTGGTCCGTACCCAGCGTAGCAGTGTAATGACGTCACGTATAGCGTTGTTTCCCGGTATACTCGGCGTATTCAATGATAGAAAGCCGAAAACGTTCAGCCTGGAAACGAAAAAATAAGTAATTAAAAAAACAATTTTGTTTGTAAACCTATACAATAAGAAAATACGAGCTTTGATCATATTACTGATTTTTAGCGCCTGTCATTTGTACTTTAAATATTTTTGCATTTTTATTTTCAAAGGCGCAACTGATTATTAGAAATTTAAAAGTAAAAAGTATATTGGATCACATTGTAACATCTAGAACAAAAACTAATAGAAAATAATATTCCTACCTGTAGTTGAAAGTTATTACAATAACACCCTTGCTGACAAGATACTCCGGTCCGTATACATCCGAATTACCGGACCCGAAAGAGAAGCCGCCGCCGTGGACAAACACCAGTATAGGAAGACCCGGTTGTTTTGGCTCATCTTCTTCACTCAAACCAGCCTCGTAAGGCGGTTTTAGGTGCCTCAAGGGTCTTCGCAAGCTGGATTCCGGCAAAGCTTCGATGGGAACGTGTATGTTAGCGTATATACAAGCTTCTTCCATCTTATGTGATGTCATCATTTTGCCGTAAAACACGTCGTGTTGTGGGCATATCGGGCCTTCTTCGGACGCGTCCAGAGAGTCCCATGGCTCTGCCGGTTCTAGTTCCTGTAATATTTTTTATTTAATTACATTATGACGAAATTAAAACTTTGACTTTGAGGTGTTTTTAAATCCTGTTAGGTCTAGTTTGATTCATTCGTTTCAATGTGTAATCCATTACCCGACGTAAAGCCTATAAGCTATCAGAGAATCATTTAGCTATTATAAATATAAACATACCTTGAACCTTAACTCGCCGAGTGGTTGTTTCGCGTAAGGAACTCCTCTGAAGCTGGCGTATACAGTGTTATTCTCCGCAAAGCGTCGTAAGCCGCACACCCATCCGGATTCCAGTCGAGCGCGCACCTCGCAACCCACCGGCTCTGATATTACAGCACCGGCTGAAATATATAAACTTTAAATTTAAATAAAGACCTCGCAGTGTCATTTGAAACATTAAATTAACAAAAATACTGGCCACCAAATCTTTAAGGTAATTGAAACGGCTTTATAAAAAAAACATTCGAATTGATAAACTCCTTCTGTTTGAATTCGGCTTAATTGTATTAAGAGAAACCAATTTTTGCTTAAATTAATTACAATTCCGATGAAATACTGTAATGGCAAACTTCTACAAATTAAGTTACATTAAAAATACATGTAGCAATCCGTAGCTAATGCTACGAGGCTACGAATGGATGATATAAAATAACCCATTTTAGAAAAAAAACATTTCATAAATTGTTTAAATGCATAATTAAACGAATAAAATGGAATCGATAAAACATAAAACACTGATTGCAGAAATAATTATGCACAGTGCGATAAAGTAGAGGAAAAATTGGGTCATTTCTTATCGTTATTATAAATATATTTATAAAGATAAATACATGCATTTATACATATTTACTGTTATCTGGAACGCTAATGATTGCATTTCCAGGTTTCTATCAACAAAGTTTTAAACATTTGTTATATACAATCATCATCATCAGCTCACTATACGTCCCCACCGAGGGGCTCAGAACCTACGCTAAATTAAGGGTGATTAGGCCATAGTCAACCATGCTGGCCAAGTGCAGTTTGGTTGACTTCACACATATCTTTGAATTTCTTCTCAGATATGTGCAGGTTGCATCACGATGTTTTCTTTCACCGTATGAACATCGGAGGTATGTACATATGTAAATCGGAAACCGAAAAACACATTGGTACATGGCGGGATTCGAACCCAGGACATATAGATTGCAAGTCAAGTGCTTGACCCCTGAGCCACCGACGCTCCTTTTGTTATATACAGAAGTTCCTAAATGTCTCTCGATCTCTGAAACATCTCTCTGACCTTGTCCCACTTACATAGGGTTAACGCACCAAGTCTTTGTCCTCTAAATTAATCTATCGACCTTCATCTCCCTTGTCACCTTTCTCACAATCCATCTGCTCCTAAGCCTATTTCTAGTAGTGTACCCCTCCACATTCATACCTAACTCTCTCCTTATCACATGCGATTCTCCGAACATTCAATATTCCTGACTTACTGTAGACTAAAGAAAGCGAACCGAGTGACACCCCTATTTTCAAAATCGGTTCAAGTCTTTTATGGTCCAGGCAATAATATATTAACATACTCAATCAAATACATATATAAAAATACAACAGGTAAGGTAAATAATCTACCCTTGTTTTACCTATTGGGTTTAATTGTACGAGAATAAAAGCCGTGTTTGTATTGTTATGTAATTGACTCCGGAAGCAGTAGTTGTGACCCGACGCTGTAGACGTCTTATCGTTGGCAGTGCAACCTGTTGCCAAGCGACACATGCCAACTTACACGTGCTTGTAGATAAAGCTGGGGTGACCATGCAACATCGAAATTATGGGACTTTTTTTTAACTAATGCCCTATGAGTATTCGTAACCGAATCCCTCATAATTATAATATTCCCATCACTTTTACGGTCTTGATGAGAGAAATAGTGTCGTAATTTTAAGACACATCTGTCTGTTTATCGCAAGTCAATTTTAAATTCATACGGATTGAAATTTAAATAAAACTAATTTTAACGTTACTAGTTCATCACATACATTACAAGATAATTTATTACTAGATTTTTTTTAATTCCTCGCGGACGAAGACGCGAGCAACTGCTTGTTAAATATACACTACTTAGGAACTATGTAGCATTCTAGTGGAGAATTTTATTTTTAAAATCGATCTATTATTTATTTTCCAATTCATTTGTTACAAACATACAAAAATACTTGTCTTTATAATACTGTTATGTAAAATGTAGGTTGTTTATGTATTTAGGTAATGCTATGCGAACACAACAAACCGAAGTTAAAGAAGCAGGTATTTGTCCGCAAATAATAAATATCATGGTGTCAGTACATGATCACACCTCCGACCTTACGATCGATGCAATCACAGTCGAGCGTTCGCGATATCACAAACATCAACATTTTTTTTTAAACAGAAACCAAACACAAATTTCGCACGCTTTATACCTACTCATTAAAACGAGATGATAATATTATTATTGTTAGTTCGCACTGCTTAAAAAAAACACTAGCTGTCGCCCGCGACGTCCTCTTGCAGTGAAAAAACTTAAATAAGTAGTCTATGTGTTCTTCCAGACTATTTCTACGTCTGTGCCGAATTTCATCAAGATCCGTTCAACCGTTCCGGAGATACCTTCTAACAAACATCCATCCATTCGCATTTATATTAGTAAGATGTGAGATTTTCAGCACTGTAGACTCATGGTAAACGACCTTAAGATTCGCGATTAGTTTGATTTCTGTTTTCCTAAAGACGAAGATCGTAGTTGGATAGAATAGTATAGATTTGAATCAACGACAAAATATTTTGCGATCCTTAAACAGATTCGTGTTACATAGAAATACGTTTACTATCTTAGTTACGTGAGAGCGTATTAGCGAAACGAATTGTTTTTCTTTTTTTAATTAATGTTTCCATTCGTTATGTGGCCAATTGTGGAATGTCATGAATTGTGATAATGAAAAATATTTCAAGGTTAAAGGCATGTAACGCGTCTCATAAATAGTATGGTTTAAGATTTTACACGGACAAACGCATTTAACTTAGGTCTATTGTTTTCCCATAGCACCCAAATAACATAGAAAATTAACATTTTTTACTACAATGTTATAAACATTATTTTTATATGTTTAACAAATAAACTAAAAATAAACGCATCGATATCGAAAACACAATCTTCAGTAGAATGCTACATTATTCCTAAGTAACTACATATTAATAAAGCAGTTGCCAGTTGACTTCACACATATCTTTGAATTTCCTCTCAGATATGTGCAGGTTGCATCTCGATGTTTTACTTCACCGTAAGAACGTCGGATAAATGAACATATGTAGAATCGGAAATCGAAAAACACATTGGTACATGGCGGGATTCGAACATAGGACCTGCAGATTGCAAGTCAAGTGCGTGACCCCTAAGCCACCGATGCTCTCAAAAAAGTCTAGTTTAGTAATAAACGCCTGTGTCTCGGGGACAGTGTAGCATCTCAACGTAAACAAATCTTTCGTCTTTGTAACATTAGTATGGATAATTGCTATAAAATATAAAAAAAATATATCTACCTGAGCGACGCAGAAACAGGTTTTATACCAGAATATTTTTTAAGTAAACATTTCATTGTATAATAAATACATAAAAATTATTATGTATAAAAATAATGTTATTCATCAAACCCATCCATACTAATAGGGAACTCATTTCTAATTGTTGGTTTCTGAGACCAAAATTCCAGTAAAACATTGTTATCCCTCTCATTATCTATATATATAAAAGAAAGTCGTGTTAGTTACACTATGTATAACTCAAGAACGGCTTTACCGATATGACCGAGGAGGTAGCTTAGAGCCAGGAGATGGAGATAGGATACTGTTTATTCATTATTTTTCTCGAATTTATGCCTTGAAGAGCAGCTTTTTATTTAACTTACTAATATTATAAATGCGAATGTTTAGATAGATGTGATGTGGATGGATGGATGGATGGGTGTTTGAAGATATCTCAAGAACGGCTGAACGGATCCATTAAATTTGGCATACGTCTAGAACATAGTCTGATAGAATACATAGGCTACACTAATTAAGTTTTTTTTATATATCCACGTGGACGGAGTCCCGGACGACGGCTAGTCTTTAATAAATCAGAGATAACAATTATTTTTTTATTCAGGCATTTTCGTCGCAAAAACCTACGATAAGTTGTCAAATCAACTTTTAGTTTTTTTGTTACAATAATATTTTGAAGGCGATCTGGTCAAGGTTGTAAATGAGACTAAAAATATTGCCTATTGAATATTCATATATAACATTCAGATATTCACTTCCTTACCGTTAGTTTCCACAGATCTCATTTTTTTTTAAAGAAAATGACGGAAATCGCATATGTTACGGCACTCGAAACTCATGCTTGTGATAATATAATTTTCGGATTTCGTTCATGATAAATACTTCCGTCCGGGCGAAAAAAAAATTAGTGACCTATGTTCTTGTAGGCTATGTTCTACATCTATGCCAAATTTCATCGTGATCCATACAGCAGTTCCCGAGATACCCTCTAATAAACATACATCCATTCAAACATTCGCATTTATTACCTTACCAACTACTATAGTATTTATTTATTAAATGTAAAAAATAACAGTAACACGTTTGGATCACGGCATAAAAATGTCCTTTTCGCACGAACCTGTTTTTTAGCAGTGTTAATAAATACCAAATGCGAAGATTTGGATGTATGTATGGATGGTTGTAAGAAGGTTCAACAGATGTAGAACGTAGTCTGGAAGAACACAAAGACTACTTACTAACTTTTTAATACCGCACGGACGGAGACGCGAGCACCAGCTGTACATAATTAAATTATACAAACTTTCGTGAGACATTATAGTAAACTGATATAAAAACGGCTAAACCCTCACGTATATTAGTTCGGTGGGGGCACCAGTTAATACCAGTACCACTCATCCTGATGAAGGGCCCCCGTTGGGCTCGAAACTAGTCGGTGCCGCCACCGGACGAATATACGTGAGTGTTTAGCCGTTTTTATATCAGTTTAGCTATACATAATTTTGTAAATTCACTATACTTACGACCAATTAACAAATAACTACATTACTCGCTTACTAATTTAAAATCGGGCATTGAACTACAACGGCTTCTGAATTAGATTAAGCGTTGACGAATCGAATATTTAGTTAAAATCGATTTTATTATATCACTATGCATCCAGAGTATCGTCACAGTCACAAGTGATAAGCGAAAACTATTAATATACATCTTCCTATCTTACTATTATTATAAATGCGAATGGATGGATGGATGTTTGTCCCGAACGGCTACATGTATCTTGCTGAAATTTGGCATAGATGTAGACTGTCTGATCTGATCTGTTAGACACATCAATTCCAGAATTCAAAAAAATCGAGACTCAACAAATTGTATCAATACAAGTGGCTTAACAATCGAAACCTAAAGTTTTTATTACATTTCTTGTTACATATATTCTAAAACTAGCTAACGCCTGCAAGTCCGTCTGCGCAGAGTTAAAAAAAAACTTAATTAGTGTAGCCTATGTGTTCTTTCAGACTATGTTGAGATCCGTTCTAGAGATATCTTCAAACACCCATCCATCCATCCTCATCACATCCATCTAAACATTCGCATTTCTAATATTAGTAAGTTAAACGAAAAACCGCTCTTCAGGCATAAATCTAAAAAAAAAATGAATAAATAGTATCCTATGTCCGTCTCCTGGCTCTAAGCTACCTCCTCACCAATTTTCAGCCATATCGGTAAAGCCGTTCTTGAGTTATAAATAGTGTTATCCATATATATATATATATATATATATATGTGTATGGATGAATGGATGTTTGTTAGAAGGTATCTCAACGGATCTCAATCAAATATTGCATAGATATAGTTAATTAAGTGTTTTTAAATTCCTTAGCTATTAAAAATAAAAATAAAATATTTTGATATGAAAACATACTATAATTTATATTTAAATTAATTTACGTCAAGGAAAATATGATATTATTTATATTTTCATTGATATCACTGGTGATTTTTGCATAAAAAAAAATTAATTGGATAACTGTCAGAAGCAAATTATGATTTATAACCTTAAAGGTTAACATAACTAACTAAATTAAATATTCGCAAATCAATAATTTAACAAAATACTGCTTCAGTGACATCTACATGGAAATAAACAACTAAATATATATAAATGGCGAAATTTAAATAATAAATACACCAATATAACTCCTAAAAATATATTGAAAAATTGAAAAATACAATTTGAAGTAGATTAATAAGTTAAATTCACTTACCCCCAAATATTAATATCAAAATAAATCACATGATCCAACCCTCAAATTTTATTAGAGTAACTCACCGTGTAGAAAGACGACAACAGCAAGTCGGTACACATTGTAGGCCCTCATGTCTCACTCGGCCCGCAAACACACTGTCACTGTTTGCCCGCTCCACCGTCGACATTATAAATACTACCGTAGAAGCCACGCTTGCACCACGCTTTAGTTTGATACCTACAACTGTCAGCCTCTCAGAGGCTTTAAAATGTTATAGTAGGAGTTCTTTAGTGAAAACATTAAGACATTAAGATTGTAAAGCTTTATTAATTAGCTATATTCTATTTTACTTTTTTATATTATATTTCCGATATAAAAATATCAGAATTAAAGATATTTTAAAAGTAACAGATGAGAATCTTCATGTTATGAAAACTCACAACCATTAACATTATTGCATAACATAAGCAATTAAATCAGTTTTATCAGACAATATTACGGTAATTGATAATATCAATTAATAGTTAAGTCGTGATATCGCGTGATCTTGGCAATGAATTTACCTGAAAAAGCTAAAACTATACTCAACCACAACCTTAGCGACTACCCTCAATAAAGATTTCTTTTTCTTAAACTTCATGCGTCTATATCAAATTACTAATGGGCAGTTTTAATTTTGAATACTGGTTAGTTAGGTAAAAACTAAGAATTTGAGTGTATGTCGCGTCTGTTCTCTTTTATTCTTTTCCACATCTATGCCTACCACGCGACAACGCACGTTCGCTTGTAACATTACCCGAGGAGGCTTAATGCCTAAATTTACAGTCGCAACTCGCTTTTAGGCCTAACGTTTCCGCTTCCTAGCTCTAAATAATAAAATAATGGCCAAATAAACCAGGTTAGAACCGAAAGTATAAAGAATCGAGGTTAGGTTAGCACTGCCTGATACCGCCCTTACCCTTATATTAGCACACCTCTTTTAGAAGTAACCACCTTTTTATTTATTGCTATCAACCATAGAGAACTGCGGAAACATCCGTGTAAAAAAATATTTGCATCCTTCTCATTAATTGAGAAAAACAATCTGTTTTCGAGACTTATCACGATGTGTTGAACCTATTAATCTCGTGTGACATTTCGCTGTGATTTCACGTATGTTTGAGGTCCGTATTGATTCGTTCACCTTAATCTTGTTTTAAAATACTTTTTTGAGCAGCAATTAAATTGGCCTGACTTGTCTCGTGAACATCCTTGACTTTCTTTCAATGTTTCTTTTTAGTCTTCGTTTGTATATTTTAAAAATTTTTAATAATATGCTCAGTGAGTCGTCACTGTATCACACTCTCGGTCTCTCTACGTCCCACTGAGAGGCTCGGAGCCAACCCTAAGTCAGAGGTGACTAGGCTATAGTCAACCAAGCTGGGCCGGTTCGGGTTGACTTCAAACATATTTTGGAATATCTTCGCAGATTTCACGAAGTTTTCCTTCACCGTAATAATGTCGGATAAATGTATTAAATCGAAAATTGAAAAACACATTGGTACATGACGGGATTCGAACCCAGGATCTACAGGTTACAAGTCAAGTGCTTAACCACTGAGTCAGTTGTCACTGCGTAACTTATTACAATATAAGTATTATTAAACAATATATAAGTAATAGGCTGTAGCTTAGGGAACGTACCCATACTACGTGACCCGTTTAGGGGGGGAGCGGAGTCTTTAGAATACTACGGTCAGTCACAGGAGCGGGGGGGGCTCAGGTTTTTGTCACGTGGCTTGTGGTTGTTCTTTTTCATAATAAATAATTCACTAGTAATTTAAGTATGCATACAGTCTTAAAAAAACTTAGAAGGAACTAAAAGAATAGGTCACGTAATATGGGTGTATTCCCTTATAACCTAGATTAAAAAATTAATAATATTACGATCGTTGTGTTATGTTTTTTTGTGTGATATTTTGATAATTTTCCTCTCTAGGTACAAATTTTATTTGAAACAATAAACCGGCTTTTTGACTCTTAACGTTGCACGAGTAACCGCGTGTCCTTGACAATATGTTTTTTGCATAATATTTTAATTATGTACATTACATGAGCTTCCACTGTCGAAATACTATTAAGAAAACATATTTATCTCTTGTTTAAAGCGAATTTGAAGAATCATAATATAATTTGCAGAGTTTGTCGGTGAAAAAATCAAGGATAAAATAAATTTTAAAAATCTGAATGGAATTATAAGTTTAAATAGTTGTAATAAAGCCACAGCTAACTTAGCTAAGCAAAGTATAAATATAATTTTGTTTCTGTCTCGTCTTAGTTAAATATGCCTCATAGTTATTCCGCCTTTGAGTGACACGGAAAAAAATTATCGCTGTACGAAAGGTACAGTGTTCTGTACATATTTTTTATTGTATAGGCTTCGTGTACACGTTTAGAATCTGCATAAGATTGATATTACTTTGAGTACACGAAGAAATAAGTTGTACATTTTCAATAGTATGTTTTGTTTTAAATTTCTGGTCAAACTATAATTTTTACAATCGCCGTACTTCTGTTTTCGGTCGCCGTTCCATCCACAGATCAGGTATTACCAGACATGTTAGTTCCATGACTGAACAAATGGACGATGAAATCTCAAAGGTTGCAGGGTCGTTGATATGAGAGCACAGATAACCTGTCACGCTCGTGCCGTGTTCTCTCTGCATTATTAATCTGTATTTACACGGTGAACTAAAAGGTTTACACGAATGCATATTATGATGTAAATTTTACGACAAACTAGGTCATATGTAATCTGTATGATGATGTTGCCATTGCGATTATTAAATCGGTTAAATTTGAACCAAATGGATAATATTTTCATTATAAATGTTGTGGATCGGTTGTAAGCCACTGACGTATCTACAAACAAGCTGACAAAAGAACAAGATTTTACAAATTATGCGTTTGGAGACATCTATTGTTAAGTTTCAAGGCCCACTTTCAATTACAAATTTATTTTTTTGATGAAAATATGAAATAATTAAAAATTTGTCGTTTATCAATGTACAAAATTTAGACGCAGAGAGGACGGAGAGTGGAAGATTCATAGGTTGAGGGATCGAATGGGAAGGGAAAAATATCCTTTGAATAGAAATTGTTCATTCTAGCAGCTGTACTTCTCTATTTTAGTGAATACAGGTGGCCGAGTGCTTGTTGCTGCCTTTTATAAGAAAAAAATAATAAAAAAAGTTTTCGTATAATGGGCTATAAGACAACGATATCGTAGTTAGTAGCTGAGGTAGTTTAGCACGCGAATGCCAATCCGGATCGCGGGGTCATTGCACTCGCTCACAGCCACTAAACTGTTGTACTCTCCTATTATTATTATTTTCTACTATACTCCGTTGCTATTGTTTTATAGATCATCATGAACTCGAAATGACCTCCATTTTTTTTAAATCGACAATTTCTTACTTTAAATTTAAACATATTGTGCTTTCAAGGTATTTTCTTATTGAATAATAGGTATCGCCCGCGACACCGTCCGTACGGAATAAAAAAAAACTTAGTAAGTAGTTTGTGTGTTCTTCTGAAGTATGTTCTACATCTGTGTCAAATTTTATCAAGATTCATTGTTTTTTTTTTACTGATTGCCACTGTTTGCCTTGAGGAGGCATTTACAGCTTCACCGAGCTTGAGGTGGCCGAGCGCAGATGGCACTTAACCTAAACCTCGTTTAAAAGTAACTAAGCTCGAGGGCTCCCTCAGGAACCTCGGCTCGGGCCATTACTTCGTTATTATTACCGGATTGGGAAAATTCGTTTGAGCTGTTCCGGTGATTTTTAATAAACATCCATCTATGCTTTCGTATTTATAATATTTGTAAGATTTTCTTGTTGTGTGAATGCACAATTCAGTACACAAGTATATTTATTGTATAGTACAAATCTGTGTTCAAGAAATTTCACGACCAGTTGTTTCGTATTTAACTTCATAAATTAATAATTACTAATGAAAAATAAATCATCTTTTTTCTTCAAAATGGTTTTATAAAATATGCTTGGAGATTTAGTACTATTAGATATTTTGTTTACGGCTTAAATAGGCAAATCGAATTTGCCTAATAAATGTAAATAATAAAACAAAGCAAATGGCAAAGAAGTAAAAAATAGTGCAGACGGCGTATAGATTATATCATCTGCAGACTGTAGACACGAATGATTTATACTGTTCATTGCAGACGCATTCTTATTTTACTGTCTAGCATTCGTTACTCTATGGACTTTTTACGTATACCTTTTTATTTTTTGTTATCAATGAAATTTGCACAGATTCAAAGTCAAAGGGACGTGGGTTCATGTTTTTTTTTTATATTTTTAATCAAATATGACCAGTTTCCATACTTTTGTTAATGCAGAATTCTATGTCATTATCATCAGCTCTATGCGTTCCCACTGAAGGGCTCCGAGCCTACCTACCTACTACCTAAGTTAGGGGTGACAAAGCCATAGTCAACCACGCTGGCCTTGTGCGGGTCGGTTGACTTTTCACATATCTTTGAATTTCGTCTAAGGTATGTGAAGGTTGCATTTCGATGTTTTTCTTCACCGTAAGAACATCGGATAAATGTACATATGTAATCTGAAGACGAAAAACACATTGGCATATGGCGGGATTCGAACCCAGGACCTGCAGATTGATTGATTGAAGATTGGGATGAATTTGTGTGCCACCGACGCTTTTGTTTTCTATATGGTAAATGGCATTAAATTGTATTTTGATGACTGGTACATTTTAATATATAAATGCTACATATCGATGTATATAATCAGCTCCTTATGTGCTTCGAGATAGTGTAATTACTCCAATACATGATGATTATAAAAAATGCATCACGAATATATTCAAAATATTGGGGAATTATTATATTATTGTTTATGTGACCAGGCGTAATCACAGTTCGCACGATATTATAATTATGACCTCGTCCCACTGTTTCTATACGGAATAAGAGACATTTGGACGCTCCAGGCGTATTAATTGCTCATTTTTTGGTCCACATTTAAGTTTTTTTTTTACAAAAAAAGGCAAAGGTACAGTACAAATTTTCAAACGATGACAAATGACGAACACAACTGATACTGGTTGATTTTCTACAGGCATTCGAAATGCTTTTAAAGATTGCCCTTAACCCACA